AATCCCAAAGAGACCTTTTCTGCACTTCTTTTGAGAGGTACCTCCAATTACATTCCAGACAATATCCCATTCTACTGTCACTTTTGTTCCAACCAAGAACCATGAATTTCCAATTTAAATAACAATGGAACTGCATCTTACATCCAGCCCAACAAATAGTGAGCTCTCACAGGTTGGCAATATCTTAGCTGGGTGCATTCTATGATTGTGTAATAAGGCTGATCGCAAAAAATCTGATGAGATTAACTCACCTCAATTGTATTGATTGGCTAGACCTAAAAAATTGCCTCTCAAATACATGAGCACTAATCCACAGAAAGCCCAACTTATATAGCTTTTCTTTCTTTTTATTTTCCTTCCTCTTTTTCCTCTCTTCTGGCTCAATCTTTGCTATAAAACTTGCAGTAGGTTTGTGGTAGAGATCCAAAATCCTGAAGCATTTATTGAAACAACAGTCAATGTAAACTCTGGAAGGCAAATCACTGTAATATTTTATCTGGAGACAATGTTTATCCAGCTGATTGGCTTGGCTGAATCTAGTTTTATTGGCTAAATGCAAGTTGCATTGCATTTGTTTGCTTTTTTTAAAGAGGGTTTTTCGCCAAGAGGCCTAGGTGAGATTTCTTGCCACGTCTTACCAATTCACCTCAAAAACTACTTATCCCATCCCTATGGTGTCCCCCAAGTCCATTTCCATCTTTATTACTACCATCTGTCATTCTTGGAAGAACTTCCCACTTATCCATCAAAAGAGCAGGGATCCACTTTTGACTTCCATTTTGAGAATTCTTGATGGCTAGCTTGTTTGGCATGTGGGTAATATAGGAAGCTGAATATTAATAAAGGCACATTGTGGCATTGGTAAGGCATTTATCATGCAATAACCCTCTTTAATTGGCAACCCACTACTGCCTAATAAGAAACTTGCCTCGCCACTCATCAAAGTCATTAAAGATGCAATGGGTTGCTCCTGGTGTTGAGATAGGCTTCTCTGAATTTCTTGCCTGATTTTTGCCATGCATAGGTCACTGAAACCCTCACAAAGTTCCAACTACATTCTCTTGAAATTTTCCAGACTTGGATGTGAAGGCTGGATTCAAAATTTTTCCACTATTTGGAGTATTTCTTGACAGTTCTGAAAACAATATTGCATATTGTCTGAAAACTTGCAGGATTTAATTCCTGGTGCCTTTGGACGTTTTTTGGTCAGAAGGCTAATGGTTGGGGGGTGACCAGGTCCTGGTTAATAAATTTTTTGAGAACTTGAAGAATCTTATCATAAAATGGAGTTTTCTCTTAGTTTTTCACACGGTTCACTATAAACTTAATCAAGTTAATTGTTGTGTTTCAGTTCTTTCACACAAAAGCAAATTTCCCCTTTATTTAATCTGCTGAAAGTGTCTTGTGACTTCTTGGGATAAGATTTAAAAACATATGTGTTTTTAGAATATGTTATGACATGGATACCATGGGCAAATGAAATCAGTCTCTCTATCCAAGTGTTCACAACACATTAAAATTAAAATATTTAATGATTCTAATGACCCCAATGTTTCATAACTAAACCTTTTCAATATCCAAACTTCGTGAATAATTGATACTAGACACCAGGTTTATAGCTTAACAAAGAATATCACAACTTATTAATAATACAGTAACTTTAATAGAGCAAAGTTAAACTACAGGGTAATCTAATTAATATCTGACTTTAAACTCAATCTTCCTTGATTCTAGGCTCCACTTTTATGCAAAGACAGACAAGCAACACAGTTAAGGGATAAATCAAAAAGAATAATGAGATTTAACTGACCAGTTCAATTAAGCGGTCACCACAATAGGTAACATTAGTGGCATATGGAATTCTGTCTTGTTTGGTTTCTGACGACACTGATGTATGCAGATGTCTGTGAGGAATATTAAACTAATTCCTGTAACAGACATTATTCTCTGAACTTTCAATAAGTCGATGATGACAGGTCAGCTGGGGAGCAATCAAACCTTTTGAAGGCACAATCCTTCTGATAGTTCAAAAACCAGTCCAAACTCTGGCCTGTCCTTGCCAGATTAACTGTCCTCCCATGAGGTCCCAGCTATCATTCAATATTTGTCACTTGCTTCATCAGAAGGCCTCTCCAGAGTCAAAGCATCTTTAGAGCACATTTTAAAAAGAAACAATCTGCAATTGACCTGGCCTCATTAACAAACATCTTTGCTGTCTGTTTTTCACAACTAGCTGCTGCTCGGTCAAAAGGTTGCCTTCAGCTCTCAGCCTACAGCTCTAAACCAAAATTGATTTAAAAAGAAATAAAATAATAAAGTAAAAACCGAAAGAACTGCAGATGCTGTAAATCAGGAACGAAAACAAAGTTGTTGGAAAAGCTCAGCAGGTCTGGCAGCATCTGGCAAGAAAAAATCAGAGTTAATGTTTTGGGCCATAAGACATAGGAGCAGAAATTAGGCCCTTCGGCCCATCGAGTCTGCTCCACCATTCAACCATGGCTAATAAGTTCCTGAATGCCTTTCTCCTGCTTTCTCCCCTAACCCTTTATCCCCTTGATAATCAAGCACCTATCTATCTCAGTCTTGAATATACTCAATGACCTGGCCTCCACAGCCTTCTGTGGCAGTGAATTCCATAGATTCACCACTCTCTGGCTGAAGAAGTTTCTCCTTATCTCCGTTCTAAAAGGTCTTCCCTTTATTCTAAGGCTGTGCCCTTGGGTCCTAGTCTCTCCTACCAATGGAAGCATCTTCCCAACATCCACCCTGTCCAGTCCATTCAGTATTCTGAAAGTTTCAGTTAGATCCCCCTTCATCCTTCTAAACTCCATCGAGTATAGACCCAGAGTCCTCCAACGTTCCTCATATGTTAACCTTTCCATTCCTGGGACCATTCTCGTGAACCTCCTCTGAACCCGGTCCAGGGCCAGTGCATCCTTCCTGAGATATGGGACCCAAAATTGCACACAATACTCCAAATGTGGCCTGACCAGAGCCTTATAAAGCCTCAGTAGTACATCCCTGCTTTTGTATGCAAGTCCTTTCAAAATAAATGCCAACATTGCATTTGCCTTCCTGACTACTGACTCAACCTGCAAGTTTACCTTGAGAGAATCCTGGACTAGAACTCCCAAGTCTCTTTGCACTTCAGACTTCTGAATTTTCTCCCTGTCCGGATGAGGAACAGTTCTGAGGAAGTGTCACGGACCCAAACGTTAACTCTGAATTTTTTTCTTCACAAATGCTGCCAGACCTGCTGAGCTTTTCCAGCAACTTTGTTTTTGTTCATAAAATAATAAAGGTTTAATTGGATAACGCACTTCTTTTATTACTACATGGGTGCACTATTCCAAAGAGAGGCAGAATATGGATTGTCCCTTACTTTCTCCATAGGAATTTTGCAATCTCAGGTGGACTGTGTGCTGAACAGAGCAACATATAGAGACAATTGGGTAAGGTAGTTATCACAGACAATTTGCAGGCACCTTCTACCGCCTTGTTAAGTAGCAATGCCCCAGGAAAAGGTTGCTTACTTGGCTCCATAGCCAAATAATAATGACTGATAGATAATAAAATAAATGAGCATGAAGGTGAAATCTCCTGAAAATCACCAATTTCTGAATGTATTCTTTCACCAATTTAATTCAAATCATTTTACATTCTTGATGCCTTGCATAGCTATAAGTGTACACTGAAATACGTATTAAAATCATAAAATGTAACTTATCTCATGAATTTGCTAATGGATATAAATATTTAGAATAAATCTCCAGAGATTATGTAAATTCAAACCCAGTTTATGTTAATGTTGAAACGATTGCTTACAGCAGAGCTCAGTTGTGCAATCTGAGAAGTCAGTGACGATGCAAACCATTGTTGCTGAACAACAATTAGCAGCAAAGGTATTCATCATAGGTTACTCATTCAAATATATGCAAAATATTTTTCTCCTTTCCCATTTCCTCCTATGCAATTTAATAACATTGCTGTCATTGTGAACACTGGATATAGCTTCTTCATGCCACAATTATTTTGTCATGTCTTTCGTAAGTAATTCAATCTATTAAACTTAGTAGTCAGACATAAAGGGGTTATAGAAAATTACAAAACAGGAACTGCAGCATGTTGTTGTAATGCTTCAACATATCTCTTCCGGTGAGTCAAAAGGAATACCATTAAAGGACTTCCAAGCATATAGTCTGTAAAACTCTTCCTGTTTATGTGGCCATAGCGAACTGAATAACTGTAATAAAGGTTATTGTGAAGGTTTATTAGCACTGTTGGTTTATGTATGCGTATGTACTGGTAGTTGAACTTCTAACAGATGATAGTTACACTTGAGAATCATCAGCCAAATATCACAGAATGTTATTTATTCTGACCAGTTTTCTATACACCAAAGTCCTGGTGAAATTTTAGATAGTGTGAAATTTGTTAGATGATATAATTATGACATTTTTACAACAATATATAACAATTACAACCACAAAGTTAATTAAGTTAAATTTATACAGTTCCAATTATAATTTTTCACTTGAACTACATTATGTTTGGGCAAAGGCAAATAAAGATTTCCATCAATTAATGACAATTGAACAGGAAAGTTCAGCTCAGAGTGAATATCACCATTTACCCTTCTTAAATTTCAACCAGTTACAAAATTATCATTAACTATGAAATAATGTTCATATCTTTCTGTTGATTTTTCCAACATTTTTGTATAAACTTTTGAGTCCCAATGTCATAACTGAGTGGAACAATTTTGGTGTAGTTACTGAACCAGAACATTGGAAGCCATTGAATTAATATCATGAGATGTGCAAGTTGAATTGGTCCTCCATCACTCTAATGCTGTTCAGCTTCTGTAAAATGCTGCATAGTGAATATAAAGTTTTAGTTCACGCATCTATTGTCAGGCTACCTCCAGAGATGCCAGACCCTTGGTTTGCTGAATATGTGCAGATCTGCACTTCATTGCTCTAGCCATTAGCGCTCAACACTAATGACATGGCAGCTACGAGGGGAGAAATGAGAGACCCTTTATGGGAACTTTACGATCTTTGCATAAACTGGATAAACAATCAATTTTACAAAAAACTCATACTTTCATAACAGTGGGTAACTGGCACTTCCAGCTCATCACTTGCTCCTCTATCTTAGACACCCAGGACTGACATCTGACGGCACATTCCACTAGCAACAACTGCACACACCTCACATCTATGAACTGGAGTCCATTGGCCTTGGACGTGTGGTTGGGCGACCCCAGGAGTGTTATATACCAACAGCCTGACATGCCAAGTGTGTCCTGCCCAGAGCCAGCTGCAACCTCCTCAGACTGAATTCCCACGAGGCTGAGGGACGTAGTCAGCGTGGAAGTAGAAGGCCTGGTCATCTCTGGACTGTCCTGTGAGGAGACCTCTGGGAGGCGTGTATGTGGTTCTTCCACCAGCTGCATGCCTGCTGCCATTACCCTGCCTCCTTGTGAGAAAGTGGCACCTTAACTGAAGTAAAGGTCTCTAATTTCTCCCCTCATAGCTGCCATGTCATTAGTGTTAAGCGCTAATGGCTAGAGCAATGAAGTGCAGATCTGCACATATTCAGCAAACCAAGGGTCTGGCATCTCTGGAGGTAGCCTGACAATCTCATGCCCGAGTGGTGCTGCAACCTTTTGTGTTCAGTTTCCCGGTGTTCCTGACAAATCTTCCTGTTGGCGCTGTGTTTGCTTGTGCATTTGTATGAAGCCTCTAATGGGTGAAACCCACACGGTCCTCGCCTGCCTGGGCCTGAGCAGGTGCCTGGTCTCTGCCAGTCCTCCCAGTGCCAGCAGCCTGGGCCTTTCTTCCTCACCAAGGCTTCAGTAGCTAAGCTGGTGGGGGATGCTGGAGACAGCCTTCTCAGTGTTTCCTCTGTGCTCTCTTCCTTAGAGGTGGAGGAGGATAAGTCTTGTGCAGCAGCCCTTTTTACTAAAGTCACCATGGAACTCCTGGTGGTATCTGCAGAAAACAAAAGAGAAAATGCAAAGGGGCAGACGTTGTAGCATGTTGACAAAAATTTCACAGTGCAGGTCTTGGAGAGTAGTGCCAATGAATGATGCTTCTTACTTGATTTCAAGACACAAGGAGATTTTTGCATCCCCTTAGGATGCCAGGGCCAAGATCTTTTCCTCAAAGTGATTGAGGAGATGAATATCCAGCCCCTGCTCTTTCAGCCCTATTGTAGGCTGTTTTCTCCTGGAATGAGAGATTGGATAAGGTGAAAGTAGGTGGCACAGCTGTTAGTACAAGTGTAGGTGTGGGGAAGTTGAAGTGATCCAAGTGAGTGTGTAAACAGCCTAGAGGGCATGCAGATTGACAAATGTGGGGCGTTGGGGCTTGGCGAGGTTGTGTGAAAGAAAACTTTGAAAGCAATAGTGAGAGTGGTAGAGCATGAGACTTCATGGGAGGTTAGTGCAGTAGCAGAAAAAGAGAGTGTGAGGTAACAGAGAGCAGATTGTGGTATTTACCCTGGCAGAATGGAGAAGGCAATTGACCACTTTCCTGCATTGCTCGGTATTTTTCTGGGCTGTGCAGACTGCAGTGGACCAGGCTGGCAGAGGATCTGGTGTTATGGCTTCATCTGCCAGTCCTGAGGGAAGAAGATGACCTCCTTCTGAACCATGTTATCCAGCAGGATCTTCAGGCTGCTGTCCCCATAATAGAGCACCAGGTTTCCCCTTGTCTGCCATATTTGGCGAAAATGTCTACAGCCATTCAGGACAGCTGTGGACTGCCAGGCGTGACTGGGTGTGCAACAGCCTTTTAAATATAGTGCTCACCCAGGAATCCCAGGATATCCCATGATATCCTGGCAGTGGTGACTGCTCCCAGTTATGGCAAGTGGGAGATTCAGGCTAGCATTGGATGAGAGTTTATGATAATTGTATGAGAAAACTCATGAGGCCTCACAGAGAAATTTGACAAAAATGTCCAGGAAAATCTGGGAAGGTTTAGCCCCTGATCCTTGTTTTTCAGATGAGAGGACCGTTTGTAAGTATAGCTTTAATTTTGTCAGCTGTTGTTATGCCCTCGCTTATTGGATAAAATTCCGCAATCCCATTGGTGCCCACTTCTTTCCCATCTTTATTCAGTTTCCTGGACACAGCAGTAATGGCTTCTTCAGCAATATCGTGCGTGAAGTTCAACAAAGCTGAATTGTCTGTAGATATAAACAAGTCATTGATGTAAAGTTAAAGATGAAAATTCCACCATTTGAGGAAGTATTGGAAAAAATTTTTCATAACATATGCAACGATCAATTTGCATACAAAAATCAACAAAATTGAAATGAAAGTGAACAATGAATATGTTGGTTTGAGTGCCATCTGTAATTCGTAAATTACAATTTTAGCCATCTAGATATTCTAGTTACATTGAGGTGAAATTGCATTTTATAACCATGAATTGCAAACTACATCAGATGCTAAGAAACTCCTTCAATAAGTCAAAAATCAAAGATTGTCTCTCCTTTTTGGAGGAGTCACAGTGGAACTGTGACCACTTTTCTTGCCACTAGTGGAAGTAATTTCAGATGCTGGAAATCCGCCTTGATCACAGACTACTTGGCGATTTGCCAACCATCTTATATCACTGAGAAACTTTGTTCCTTTCTTGAAAATTACATTTCAGGTGATAGCTGTGAACTTTATTTCAGTGTCTGGCTTTTGGATATTTTTGTACCCCCTTCAACCATTTACATAAATTCTTCAACGAAGTTATCATAAATATTGTTTTTTTATAGAATTCTCTGCACCATTTTGTTTCCATTGTCATTAGAGGGAATACATTCTAAATCAGCTAAGATAAGATAGATGTTATTTCTTGTTATTAAGCAGTTTAATGTTCATGATTACACTTAATATTATGCTGGAGTCTTTAACATACCATGAGAATAATTTTCAGATTTTAAACAATCATAAATTGTGCATTGGCAATCTGGTTATTGTAAGTAACCCTGCATGTGGAACCCCATTGAGGACATTTACAGCCACCATCATTATTTTTGATACTTCCGCTTCAACCTTGAATGTTAATTACATATTAATGTCACATTATCTTCATTTCTGCAAATAACACTTTGAAGTCCATTTTTAAATGAATGCATGTAACGTTCAGTTTGAACCAACAATATTCAAATAAATCAAAAAGAATAAAAATGAACAAAACCACCTTCTAAGTTAATAGTAACTCTTAATTTTTTTTTAAAGAATACAATTTCCATCTGTAGTTTACAGTGGGTGTTAAATTTACAATAAAAAAAACTGGCACCTCATTTGTCGCCTAAAGCAATATCACAAACTCAAACCAAAGTGAAAAATGGAAATAATGAGTCCCTGTGGGTGGGGTGGCTTTGACAGAATTAGGTGCTGTTTTAAAGAGAATTGTTAAAGAAATGCAGTTCAAATTGACCCATACATTTTGTCAATGTACTTGTCTAATATTAAGAGAGTTTGCACATTGAGAAACAATTCTATGTTTAAATCCTTTTACATTGGTTAAGATTTTCAGTTTAATTATTTTTTCATTGTTTGTACAATTAAGTACCTAAATTAACAATTTTAGTCAATGTCACATTTTGGTCTCTTCTAAAAGAAGAGATCTCATTGTGAAGTAACAAATGCTGTAAACAATTCTTATACATGTGTGTATTTAATTGTAGTGGGAAACTTCCTCCTCTCTCCTAGGTCTTCAGTCAGTGCATTATTAAATATGATTATCGAATTAAATGTGTTAATGAGTAGATTCCAGCTTAGTTTTACCAATTAGTGTCATTGATTCTCAGGACCATCAGATACCCTTGGTTCAAAATGCTTAAATTTTACTGTAAAAGTTGTCAATCATTAGGGATGATGTGATTGAAAATACAGGATGTTGGATTCATGAGGAGCAAGATCTTATTCTCCTATAAATGTCTTTCTTTTCTCAGAATCCAGTGCTGGAACTTTAATGAAATAGGACCTGCCTGCAGTGGGATCCTGGCAGGATATCAGAAACCCAATCATCCCAGCAGTTAAACACAATCATAGCCTCCAAGTTTCCTGACCAAACATGCAGTGTGGGATGATGGCAATGTGCATCAGCTAATGGAAAGATTCCTGTTAAAAGAATGGACGTAGGGTCAGGATATCTGCATTGTGCAATGGTCTTGAAGGAAAATAATGGACATTAGATGTACACAGGCTGTCTTCCTAGTTCTAACCCTTCCCTGGAGCTGATGCTGGACACTGAGGGCCTTCTGTTTCCCATGGATGGGAGGAAAAGGCCAATCTCATAAGACAAAATCGGTGAGCCTAGAAATCATGGGAACATTGAGCAGCAGGACTATGGTTCCTATACCCTGGATAACGTGCTGTTAGATACTCAATGGGCTCAGTGGGCAGGAATGTTGAGTGGTATTCTGCTTTCAAGTGCCAACTGGCTCCCTCGGTATTCTCCAGAACAGCAATTGTCAGACTGGTTCTACTCATTTCCCTCTGTCTTGAGACACCTGCTTAAAACCAACACTCACCCCTATTTGATTGGCATCTCAAATTCATGCCTTAAAATCAAATTGCATAAATGTTGCCATGACCCATTTCTCACTCGAAACACTCTAATTTTTCTCATTGCAGAAGAGAGCACACCGCCTCAGGGACAGCCTGATATTAATTCCCTCTCTTTAGAGAGCATGCCACTGCAGGGAAGGAAACTGCTGGTTTTGTTGCTCCTGCTGCTATTGGTGTGGCCTGTGTTACTGCTACACTTGCTCTTCATCAGAGATGCCAGGTATATACAGCTGCATAAACTCCACATTCCATGCTGCAGTGAAAGCTTGCAGCATGAAAGTGCAAAGTGCAAGGCAGGAGAAATTGTTTGGAAGTAGTTCAAAATCAGTAAAGCAGTGAAACCAGAGTCTCAGGACAAGTACTGTAAGCAGAAACCTTTCATATTGGCAGTGAAGTAGCTATGCAGTTTTACTCAATGTATAAGGGAGCGAGTTGATGGTGAATGGGAAGATATGAAATAAAGAGGAGTGTTGGTTATTGGAGTCACCACCACTGTGGTCTTGACAAGAGGACTGGACATGATTAAACATAGGGCCGTGGCTCAGGCGAATGATGAGACCTGCAGATATAATTCTAAGTGGTGTGTGAGAACATGTGGAAGGTCAGGAATGATGGGAGGTTGGTCCTCCTTTCCTGGATGATGTGTAGAGTTCTCAGACCATCCTGGTGAGGGATGGAGGTGTAAAGGGATTGGACACCCATGTGAAAAGGAGGCAGAGTCAGGAAACCGTTAAAGTAACAAGGAAATTGGAAGAGTTGCACATATAGGTGGGGCCAGACTGGACAAAGGGAGAAAAGTGTCTGCAGACCTCGACTTCCGTTGAATTATGGAAGACTGATCACTTTTAAGAATCCTTGGATGTTCCTGTGAGATTCCCAGAGCCGGAGTCCTTGCTTTTAAAGCTTGCATTCAATGCTAAAAGCAAGAGTTATGCAGCATCTGAGGCTGGAAACCTTTTTATTCTTTGGAAACATTTTCAAAGAATAAACATAGCTATAAATGTTTAGGGATGCAGTTTTTCCCTCCAGTGGGTGTAGGCACAGAGATGGGTGTCCAGAATTTCATGCCACCCATAAGTATGCCGGGTCCCTGCTCCATCCTCTTTCCAGACCATTTCCTCCCAGGTAGGTTAGGAAGCAGTTGATAATTGAGGCACTAAAAAACCTATTAAGACTTATAAAAACCTAGGACCTAAGAGGCAAACAGGGATTTTCCAATCCTCAAAGTCCCTGCAGGCAGTGGGAGAATGTGCAGAGGGAGCTTCCTGGTGCCAGTTCTTCTTGATCACCTGGATCTAGCTGAAGGTACAGGCCACCCTGGTAAGACAGCTATAAAAGGAGGTTTTTAAATTTTTATTTCTTAGAAAATTGGAGATGGTGCAGCTTCATCTTGGGGCACCATCTCTGTCAATTACCTGACATGGCATCTTACTATTGCTTCCAACTGCGGAGCATCCCATGGACTTTCCAGTTTTCAGAGCTTGCTAAGGACAGCAAGCCAACCCTTTGTCCAAGAATTGGCCAATGTGAAGAAAGGCTCAATGAGTGAGTGTTCCCCACTGTGTAGAATTTTAATCCCTATTTGAGCCTGATTACAGATCCTGAAGGCCACAAGGAAAATCCTGCCCTTCTTTATCAGGGTGCATGTTAAAGGTTAAACAGAAAATGGTAATCCAAATGGAAATTTGTTTTGACATGCAATGTAGACAAATAAAACTCAAAATATTTACTACTTTCATCTTGCCTACTGTTCTGTGAAAGCCTGGGTAAAGGGATCACAGTACTTGGAATTTGCTCATGGCTCACACATATTTGAACAGCAGTGACATTTAAGCAACCTAGACAGTTTTTTAGGCTAGTCAGCTGCTGCCTCATGGGAAGCATGAATATAACAATCATGAGATGAAGGCAGCATCTGGAAATTTGTGAATTCAGTGACCAAGATATTCAGTGAGTCAGCTTCCCAAAACATTTGTGTTCAGATGTTTGGCATATATGTATGTACTTCTAGTCAGATATTATCCAACTTGAAGGAGACGGTCTGGAATGCATCCTGAAGTTTCTTTTTGGAGCAACCCAATAGAGTAGACTCCTTCTGTTTTCATGGCTTAACATAGACAGGTGTCTCGTTATGGAAGGAAGTTGGTGGTCAGGCTTGGAAGTTGATCTGATCCACATCCTGATCCAAAACCACAATGGTTTCAAAGCTTCCCTTGTATTAAGCTGTCTTTTCACTTTCATGCTGGCTTTTATTTTTATTTAAGCCTTACACAATTCTTGGTTTTGGAAGTCCCTGTAAATTTCTGGCAGCAGTAATACTCAAAAAGTCCAGAGATCATCTGTATGGATTTCAAAAGACAACTATAGTGTCAAGTTAAAGAGAATGTATTTTTTCTGTCGCAATGAATTAGTATAGCCCGGATTTAACAATTATCTTTGACTGTGATCACTTGTTTATTGGAAAACATATGACTAACATTTTTAATTAGTTCAGAAGATAGTAAATATATTGGACTAGCTTGTAAATAAAATTGGAGCTGTAATTTGATGTAGAGGAGGAGGGGAAGCTAGCTAGAAAGTTGCTTGAAAGATGAGCAGCTTTTGTGAAAGTTCA